GGCGACCTCCCACAGTCATGGAGCTCCGAAGCCTAAGAGGCTCATCTCATGGCAAAGTTCCCAATGCAGGGTTTCTCAGATCTCTTGGAGAAGCCAGACAATTCGGTGGCTCCGGGCAAGGCCTCTAGAACCTGAGGTTAAAGCCCATTTCTGTCACTTCCCAGTTGTGGGACCTTGGGCAAGTGACTTTACCTCTCTTGGCTTTGGTTTGCTTATCTGTAAAATGGAGGTCCAGGGCTACCTACCTCGGAAGGTTATGGTGAGGTGCTCATGGGGTGCTCTCCGTGGCTATTGGAGTGACAGCTCCAGGCCGGGGGCAAGAGTATAGGATTTGACTCAAGGTTTGCTTTGTCTAGAGGAGGCAGGATAGGGCTATACCCAGAAACCAGAAGATTGACAGGGTGGTGGGACGTCTGTCTGGGGAAGATTCTAGCCAGAAGCAAATGGTAATTTCAGACTGGTAGGAGGATAGAATGAGGTCCCAGGAGGCTCAAAGGCAGGTAAGTGCAGAAGGGTCTAATTGGACTGGTGGTTATTTTGGGGGGACCCACAGCTAAGCAGCTGGGTAACCTCTTTCCAGGACCTGTGCTCAGTATTCAGGAGGTCGGAGCAGGCAGTCAGTGTAAGATAAGGATTTGGCAACACGGAATGGAGGCAGCAACCTGGAAAGGAATTTCCTTTCCAGGTGGCTGGGGGTTAAGGAAGAGATCATGAAGCCTGTGGGAGGAAGCCACCAGAACCGGGGTTCAGCTGACATTAGGGAGGCCAAGTGCAGATGTTAAGTAGATACAGGGGGGGCCAAGGGGGTCAAAACAAGGGGAGGAGGCAATTAGCACATGCAAAAGTTTAGGGTAGCACCAGGTTCAAAGGCCATGCGATGCATGTGTTGGTAGTGATGGTGTCATTTTTGATGGTCAGGATCTGTGAGCAGAAGTAACCAGACGGGGTTTTGATGCCTTATTACTTCCCTCCATGAATCTGGGACCGATACTGCCCACTTTCTCATTTAGCCAAGCGAGACCTTTTAAACAACCAAAAAATGCATCAGCTACCATCACCACGATTTCATAAAAGAAGAGCCATCTTCTTGCCAAAAGGAAGACAGGAGTAATCTCAGAATAGACATTTAAATTAGAAATGGAAAATTAACTTTGCAAAAGGCTCACTTGCATTGTCTTTTTGTCAGGGTGCAGCTGATGGAGGGAAACTTTGTCTGGAGCACGGCTGCTGGGCAGAGCAGAGAGGGCGATGTACTCCTCCACTCCGGGGCTCCCCTTCCTGGGCCCTGGGCTCCCCTTCCTGGGCCCTGGGCTGCCTTGTGGGCTTTGGTTTCGAGGAACATGAGAAAGGCTCTGTAGCCATGTACAAGGTGTCTGTCCTGACCCTGAGCTTTCATGCTCACAGCTGGATCTCTGCTGTCCTGTGCAGGCCCTCCAGGCCCCTGGCTTCTGGGCCAGCCTGACCCCACTCCATTCCACGGCCACCTGGGTCCTCTTCCTCCCCTTACAGCCCTCCGCTTCCCCTTTGGATGTGACACTTGAACTTGTCTTCCATTGGACTGTTGGCACTTTTTAAGGGCTTTGGCAGGAACCTTGCCTTCTGCCCCTCCTGCTCCTGCCCAGCCTGCCCAGGGGACACCCTGTCCCATTCTCACCCCTGGACCTCAGCCTCAACCCTTGTCCTCAATGGCTGAGGATCTACACGGAATGTCAGAGTGAAGATCAGCCCTCAGAGCCACTGTAGTGTGGACCCAGCCCTTCTACCCTGGTGCTCCTGCTCTCCCCATGCGGGTGAGGGACAGAAGGAGAAGGCTGAGTCTCAGGTTTGCTCACAACCTATAGAAATCAGTAGGCCCAGTGCAAGGAGCTACATGCGTAATGAACCCACCACTGTGTCCGTTTGTCTCTTGGATATCTGTAAGCTCTTTGCGGTGGGGACCTTCCCTGATCATCTTCTATTTACTCTTTTATTTCCTACTCATCCCCAATTCCCAATGTCCGCCCCTCCCCAAAAACCAGCTAGTAAAGGCCATCCGAAATATATGTGTTGCCTTGAATTTGATTCTTTCATTCAATACACATTTACTGATAGCCTGCCAAGAATGATACCAAGACAAAGCAGATAAGGACATTGCCTTCAAGGAGCCTTCAGCCTCCCGAGTAGGAGGACCCATGGCCATGGAACTGGAAATGAAATAGAAAATACAGAATATTTCCAAAACAAGCCTGAAGGCTGAGCTGAACTGGTTTCACCTCTAAGTGCTTGGGTGGTTTGGCCCATACGGGTCAGCCCAGCCTGGAAAAGCAATCTCCCCACTGGGGCCCCAAACATGTCCCATTCAGCCTTGAACACAGCTCTGAGCCAAGGGCGAGTTAGCCTTGCAACCGTGCAACCACCTTGTTTTGTTTCCAGAGAGGTTTTGTCCCCACCTTGGTCTCCTGGTGTTTTTCTTCCTGACCCCCTCCCACACTCATCCTGAACACGACAAACCTCTCCTTAAAAACAAATGTCTCCCGTTGCAAGATAAGGGCGCCCTTTCTGTGTTTCCATTCATTTACTGACGCTTGTTTTCATGCTGAGTTTGGGCTGGCCTTGTATTGACTGTCGAAGGCCGAAGTTTGTTTGAGCAAAAGGACGCAAGAAAGGGGAAAACAAATCAAAGAAACACTAAATTCTCAACCAAAAAAAAAAAAAAAAAGAATTTTCAGGGCACCTGGGTGGCTCAGTCAGTTGAGCGTCTGCCTTCAGCTCAGGTCATGATCCTGGAGTGCCGCATGAGGCTCCCTGCTTAGCGAGAAGTCTGCTCCTCCCTCTCCCTCTGCTACTCCCCCTGCTTGTGCTCTCTCTCATTCACTCTCTCTCTCTCAAATAAATAAATAAAATCTTAAAAATAAAGAAAAAAAGAATATTCAATCAGCTGGTTTAGAACAGTGATGAGGTTTCCCAAGAGGAGAATCTAAAAGTAAGTGGGATGGGGGGACCCTTCAGGCCAATGATACAGGGCGGGGATTTCCATACCTTGCTCTTTACTGCTCACTGACAGTAACGGTGGCTCAGACTTCCTACGGGGGCTGGGGGCACATCCCCATGGGGTTCTGGAAGCTACTCCCAGGAGGCTGCCTTCTGATCTCCTTCCAGTATCCCAAGGTAAGGCTCTCCAAACTTCCAGGAGCTTTGGGGGGGTACAGTGATCACTTTCTTTCCAATCTGTACCTGTGTGGAGTGGGGGCAGCCCAAGGGTGTGGGGAAGCATCCTGAACCCAAAGTTAGGAGTCTTGGCTGGGCCCCTGAGCAGGGGAGATGCCCTCACTTATCTGACTCAGGGAGTCTGTAATGTTCAAGGATTCTAGAATATCCACTTCCTCAGTTTTAGTTATGTAATTCTCAATCGAATGCGTGTTCGTTGTAAGAAAGCAAAGGTAGCAGAGAAATATCTCAAGACAGGTCCCTCACCCCCACCCACCACCAGCTCCAGAAATAACCACTGTTTGTTAGGGGAGCACCCTTTCAGAAATGCTCCCTGCCCACACAAAGCTATCACTGGGTGCGCTCAGGCCCTGTCTCGAGTCCAGGGTTCCCACGGCTTGCCTAGTGGCTGTGGAGTTCCCCCATCTTCCAAAACAAGAATCTGCCTTCTCAACACGTTTTATTCTTTTGGCACTAAGAAAGGTTTTGCTTCTTCCTCTTCATCTTTTTTTTTTTTCTTTTTTAATCTGTATTCGCTTTTTCTAGAAAATTCCAAAGATAAGGAAGAGGTGTGGAGCTGGCTTGTCCGGGGCCAAAAATCAATGACTCATAGCTATTCCAAACTCATTCAGCAATGTCACATCAGTAGCTTGCAATTGGCTGCATCTGGCAGATGCTACGAGTCAGGACCCCACCCCCACCAGGATCGAGTTTGCTGGCACATCCTGGGGCGGGGTGGAGGGGGTAGGAGGGTGGGGGAGTGGGAAGTCCGGGTGAGGAATGGGCTTTGACAACTCAGGGTAGGGGGAAGGGTCAGCCAAATGCTGCTACGTAGTTTGATGGGCTCTGTGGAGTCAAGCAAACTCCATCTGTAGGTATGTCTCTGCTGGCAAAGGATGACAGAACCCCGGGCAAGATCATGGAAATAGATGTTGGCAGAGAGTGGGGACTTACGCCTCCTCTGTCTAGCCTGCTGTCCTGAAGCAAACCCTCGATAACGTTACATCCTGTAGACCTCCCCGGGAGAGTGCTAGAATTGTGGCCCCTAGGAGCGGCAGCTCCTTGTGTCTGCACCCCTTTGCGGTGGGGTGTTGCTGCTCCCCTTGCTGAGCAGTCCCGTCTACTTCACCATCTCCTTGAATCTGGACTGGCCTCGTGACCTTTCTGGCCAGCAGAATGCGGCAGAAATAACATGCACAGGGGTGCCTGGGTGGCTCAGCGGGTTAAGCCTCTGCCTTCGGCTCAGGTCATGATTTCAGGGTCCTGGGATCGAGCCCTACCTCGGGCTCTCTGTTCAGTGGGGAGCCTGCTTCCCCCCACCCGTCCCCCCACCTGCCTCTCTGCCTACTTGTGATCTCTGTCAAATAAATAAATAAAATCTTTAAAAAAATAAAAAGAAAGAACATGCACATTCTGGAGCTTAGGTCTAAAGGGGTCTTGTAGCTTCTTCCATCTCCCTCTCCTAACTTAGAGGCCGCCATGCCCTGATGAAGTTCCCTGAGCCCACTGGGAGATGAGAGACCACTGGGAGAACTGGTAAGCTGCCCCAACAACCAGACATGTGAAAGAGGTCATGTTGGGACACCCCCACCCTGGTCAGATGACCTTCGCCACATGGGCTCTCACGGGGTTGACTAACAGAACTGCCCACATGGCCAACCCACAGCGCTGTGAGAAGCAATAAATCACAGTGTTTTGAAACAACCTCAAAATCTAGAGACATCAGTGGGCCTGGAAGGATGATGTCCCCCACAACCCCTACCCCCCATCTATAAATGAATCCCCTCTAGAGCTGATAAATGATCAGGATTTATTTAAGCTGTTATTCCTACCCTCCCCGGAGCTCCTGCACCTTCAAAGGAATAACCTTTTAACAGTGGGACTGCAGGCGCTTGTCAAGGACGGATTTCTGGCCTGGGAGCCTCCTGCCCGCTCTTCAGAAGGCACATCCTTTGACAGCTTTCAGCTCACTTTGCAAAGGTGATGGGGCAGATGTACTTCAGAGGAGACAGATGGTTGGTAAAGTAGAGGAAGTTGTGAGGAGACACTGAAGCACATCCAACCTTCTTTGTAGCCAAACAAAACAATTTCAAATCCCAAAAGAATCCTAAGGGAAAAAATAAACAAGGATTGGAAAGATGACAGAACATGGGGGCAAACACATAGGTCGTGCCCTATATATGTCAGTAACATAAAAATAGTAAAAAGTGGGGCACCTGGGTGGCTCAGTGGGTTAAGGCCCTGCCTTTGGCTCAGATCATGATCCCAGGGTCCTGGGATCGAGCCCCACATCGGGCTCGCTGCTCAGCAGGGAACCTGTTTCCCCCTCCCCCTCTGCCTGCCTCTCTGCCTACTTGTGATCTCTGTCAAATAAATAAATAAAATCTTTTTTAAAAAATAGTAAAAAGCCAGGTAGATCAAGCTAGAGCTTGACATCGTTCTCAATGTGCTTTCCCTCCCTAGACTGTAAGCCTCTTGGAAGCAGGGATCATGAATTGCTCATCTTTTTGACTAAGAGCCTAGCATGGGGCTTTGCACACGGCAGACACTCAGTGAATTTATACAGTGAAGTATAGATTCAAGCCCAAAGAACAGGGTGGGGAACATAGAAGCCAGTATGTCCCACGGTTTTGAGATTTTGAAAGGTTTGAAATGTCTGTGGAGGGGTCCAGAGAGCAGAGGTCTGGGCTCTTGGAAATGGCTGCAGGCAGGGTCCTGCAAGCACTTGGCTCCCCAGCACCACCCTCGGCACGAGTCCGTGCCCTGCCCCGGGACAAGTGGGGCTGCAAATCCTCAGACCGTGGTGCCCCCTGGAGCCCCCTTACTCACCAACCTTGTCCAGAGAGAGGTGGCCTGGGCAGAGTGGAGCCTACCTGTGCCGAGACCTGGAGCCTGGAGTCAACCCCTCCACGGTCCTGAGGCCAAGCCAAGAGAGTAGAAGAAACCCTGGAAGGCGGAGTGTCCCCGGCATCCTCCCCCAGACACCAGGCAAGTTGTCATTCTCCCTGAGGGGTCTCACCTTGACCCATCTCCTCCCTCTCGCCTGCACCCTTGGGGCACAGGGCCCTGGAGGCCCTAGGGGCTCCCCAGAACCTCTCTGGGTGAATGTGAGGGCTCTGGGAAGTGTCTCTCGCTCTTTCTACTACTCTAGCACTGGTTTGTATATCTGGGGACAGAGCCAGGAAAAGGGGCCTCTCGAACAATGCCCCTTCCAAATCCCCTGCCACTTCCTTTAAACCAAGAGCATGCTCTCTGGCCCTCAGAGACTTTGTTTCTGGTCTGCAGAAGGAAGGGAAGCAAGGAAGAGGGGATGGTAAAGGGAAGGGAGTGGGGAGGAATTCCCCACAACCCACCCAGCTTCTTCCATTACCTACAGCATAAAGTTCAAGTCCTTTTATGGTGTGCAGAGCTCTTGCCAGGTGGGCTGCCCCACAGCTCAGTCTAATCTCTGCCTCCTCCCTTGGACCCGACAACAACAACAACAACGTCGGGCTCCATACCAGGCCCCGCCCACAGGGCCTGAGTCTGAAATGCCCTTTTCTCCTCCCACCTTTCAAGGCCTCCTTCTGTTCTTCATGTCTCCCTCCTCTGCCGCCTTGGCCCCTTCTCTCTAGTGACACAGCAGGGTCCCTCCCCTCCCTCCTTTCCTCCTTCCTTCCTTCAACAAGTGCTCGGTGAGCACCCCTGTGAGCCAGACTCTGTGCCTGGTCCTACAAGGATACCACAAAAGAGACGCTGTTCTCTTACAGGGCCCCCTCACAGAAAGGTGTGGAGTCATGGGGGTAAAGAGCTCGAAGTGGGCACGGGGACAGCCTCCCATGAAGAAGCAAAATTAACAGCTGAAAGCTGTATAGAGGTTAATGAGGGTAGGGGTGGGGGGCGGTGAGAGGCCCCAAAGTGGAAGGGAACCTGATATATACTTCAGGAAGTAAAAGAAGTGGGGGGAAGCTTGTGTCGACTCTGGGCTGTGGGCCTGGTAGACCACAGTGAGGATTCTGGTCCTCCTCCTGGGAGAAATGGGAGACACTGAGGGGTTTAGCCTGGTGGGGCTGGAGGGATGAGAACATGACTGATTTGCACGTGGAGTGGTCAGTGATGGGGGCAGGAGTGAAACAGGAGAGCCCGCAGGAGGCTGCTGGAAAAGTGGAGGAAAGAGGTGCTTTCCCACCTGTTGATCTGGTCCACCCACCAGTGTCTAGGACCTGGTGGGTGGACCAGATCAACAGGTGGGAGGTCGGACTGATGGTCAGGTTGGCAATAGGGACAAGGTGACAAAAGGGGGTGTCCAAGATGTCTCCCTGGTTTCTGCATCAGGAAGGGTCTGTGCTCCTGCTAGCCTGGGCTTTACTAAGTTTTCAAGCCTCTGCACCCAGCATAGCATCTTATGAAGAGCTTGTGGAAGGGACATCCAGACACCAGGGAACAAATGGGCAAAATCTCTCTATTCGGGAGAATGTCAGGTGTTGACTTCAAGCCATTTTAGCCACACTATTTACAGAATCCTGGTAACAAACAGGTACTTCCAAATGCACAAAAATCAGATTCCTTCCAAAGTGATAAATTAATGCTTTTGGAATGTAGGCAGATAGGTGGGGCATAAGCATTCTGTTCTCATTTTTGCAAGATAATAGTTTGAACTAAAGGAAGCTTCTGGGAAAAAAACACTACATTAACAAAGAAGGAAGCCTTAAATATTAAGCTATTTGATGATATAAACTAGATATACTATGTTATATGATAAACATTAAATATATTTAATATGATATTATTTTTTTCTTTGTTTAAATTCTTTTTTTTTTTTTTTTTTTTTAAAGAGAGAGACACAGCGAGAGAGAAAGCACAAGCAGGGGGAGTGAGAGAGGGAGAAACAGGCTTCTGGCTGAGCAGGGAACACAATGCAGGGCTCGATCCCAGGACCCTGGAATCTTGACCTGAGCCAAAGGCAGACACTTAACAACTGAGCTACCCAGGTGCCCCTCTTTGTTTAAATTCTTTTAAATACAATATTATTTTTAATTGCAGTAGTACCTGCTTGCTGTGAGAAATTCCAGCAATATATAAAGAACGTTGTCAAAGTGAAGGTCCATTTCTCCAACCCCCAAAACTCTCTCTCATCAAATGTCACCATTTTTTTCTATGCACCAAAACATGTTTCCACTTTTCATAAATATGAGATTGTTTAATACCTTTCTGTGACTTGATATTCTCCCCATGTCATAGTCATATGGAAGCATAACTTAGGGTTATGGTCAAGCCACAGGCTTTTGGAGCCAGATCACTGGGGTTCAAGTCCCAGCTCTGCCAACCACGTGTGTGATCTTGGATGAATGAGTCACCCCACTGTGCTCGGTTCCCTCATCTGTGAAATAGCACAAATTACAGTATCTTCCTCATTGGGCTTCCGGAAGGATTAAATAGACAAAAAGCATGGAGAACAGTGCTTGGTACATCCGTTATCTTCCCGCATCAGGACAGCTTCCAAGTGTAAGATGAATCGAAATTATTCACCTCTCCTTTGGGGATGGATTCCATCTCCTTCATAATTCTAAACCGCAATTATCTGTAAAGGATCTTTAAAGATGTGTCTTTCCTGAGGAATCACAGATCTGTACCTCTGAAACCAATAATACATTACATGTTAATTAATTGAATTTAAATTAAAAAATGTTTTGAAAAACAGCAGTACGGAGGATTAAAAACTAATCCTTGGGATTAGACATTGAAATTCATAGTAAAATAATTTTCTCTGGTAAAATTTTTTTCTAAAAAATAATAAATTAAAAAGAAAAGATGTGGGTTCCTGGGTGGCTCAGTGGGTTAAGCCGCTGCCTTAGGCTCAGGTCATGATCTCAGGGTCCTGGGATCGAGTCCCACATCGGGCTCTCTGCTCAGCAGGGAGCCTGTTTCCCTCTCTCTGCCTGCCTCTCTGCTTACTTGTGATCTCTCTCTGTCAAATAAATAAAATCTTAAAAAAAAAATAAAATAAAAAATAAAAAAGAAGAAGAAAAGATGTGTCTTTCTGCAAACGTGTGGGAATTCATGTTCTTACTACAAAATGGCATCAATGTTCACTCCTACCCTCGTACTGAGCCAATTCGAATTCCTGTCAGAGATCCCTTTCCCCACGCTTTTGTCAATGCTACCAATCAGCAATTTTTGGTAAGTTTCATCAAACCAATGGGGGAAAAAAATATCTCCTTGTTGTCCTTTGTGTTGCCCATTTTATTCATGAGATCATCATTTTATATGTTTATTAATAAGTTGTGGGGCTTTTTTTTTTTCTTCAGTGAATTGATTCCATTTTAATGTTGGGCAATTTCCATTGAGTTTATATCTTTCAGTTGTTGATTTGTAGAAGTTCTTTCTATATTAGGCATTAATCTCCTGCTTTTTGCTTAAGTCGCAAATAGTTTCTCTTGGGTGTTTGTCCTTTAGTATTGTTTATGGTTTCTTTAGGTATACCGGAGATTTGTTTATCTGTTAATCTGCTTATTAATGGATAAATCGGTTTATCTATAGTCTATCTGTTAATCTTTTCTTTATGGCCTTTGGGATTGAAGCCTTCCCTGGAAAGGCCTACAGCAAGTTAAGATTTAAAAAACACGTTCTTACATTTCTTTTGTTGTTTAAAGGCTTTAAAAATGTTTTGATTTTGGGGGAGTCTGGGTGGCTCAGTGGGTTAAAGCCTCTGCCTTCTGCTCAGGACCTGGTCTCAGGGTCCTGGGATAGCCCAACATCGGGATCTTTGCTCAGCAGGGAGCCTGCTTCCCCCCTCTCTGCCTGCCTCTCTGCCTACTTGTGATCTCTGTCTGTCAAATAAGTAAATAAAAATTTTTAAAAATTTTTGATTTTTAAACCACCTTGAATTTCCTCCTCAAATTGATAACCAGTTGTCCCAACATTTTGCCCATTAAATTGTGATTGCCATCATTTTTATAAACTAAGTCCCTATTTATACAGGACATACTTCAGGACTCTGTTCCTACGACAATACCTCATTTTTTATTATTATCATCTTTGGTATCTTCGTTGTATGTCTTGCTGTATATAACAGGAGGTGCTCTTCTCATTATTCTTCTATTTCAAAATGTTCTTGGCTATTCTTGTATGTTTACTCTTCCTGATGAACTTCAGAATCAGCGTATCCATAAAAAGTCCCACTGGGATGTCAATAGGAACTAATTTAGAGGAGAATTAATATCTTTTTAATTCTGACTTTTTTCATCATTTTCAGAAGATAAGTTCTTTCTCTATAGAGTCTATATCTGTAAATCCTTTAATAAAGTTCATAAGTTTTTTTTTCCATAACTCCGGTACATTTTTGACAATTTGTTCCTAAGTACCTTTTTGTTTTTATTATTAATGCGAGTTATATCTCTTTTCTATCATATTTCCTAATTTATTATTGCTGATATATAGGAAAGCTGCTGGCTTTTGTGTGTGTGTGTATGTTTCCTTTCTAATCTGCCACCTTGTAAGATTCTTTTGTAAGCCATAATTATTTTTCGAGGTGTTGATCTTGGAGGTTCTACAGGAATAATCATAACATCTAGAAATAATGCTATTTGTCTCTTTCCATGTTGATATGTACCTCTTCTTTTCTTTCTTTTTTTTCAAGATTTTATTTATTTATTTGACAGACAGAGATCACAAGTAGGCAGAGAGGCAGGCAGAGAGAGAGAGAGGAGGAAGCAGGCTCCCCACTGAGCAGAGAGCCTGATGCTGGGCTTCATCCCAGGACCCTGGGATCATGACCTGAGCCGAAGGCAGAGGCTTAACCCACTGAGCCACCCAGGCGCCCCTACCTCTTATTTTTTCATCTAACTGCAATGACTGGGTACTTCAGGCAAGTGTACTAATAACAATGGTATTGGGGCATGTGGGTAGCTTAGTCGGTTCAGTGTCTGCCTTTGGCTCAGGTCATGATTTCAGGGTCCTGGGATCGAGCCCCATTTCGTTTCGGGCTCCCTGCTCAGTGGGGAGCCTGCTTTTTCCTCTCCATCTTCTGCTCCCCCTGCTCATGCTCTCTCTCTCTCTCTCCCTCTCTCAAATTAATAAATAAAATCTTAAAAAAAAATAACAACAGTTTCAACTTGGTTTGTCTCAATCCTGCCTTTTAAGAAAATGCTTATACTTTGCCATTAGGTTTAGCATTTTCTGTAGCTGTAGGTTTCTGATGGAGACTTTATCAAGTTCAGGATGTTTTCTTTCTTTCTTTCTTTCTTTCTTTCTTTCTTTCTTTCTTTCTTTCTTTTTTTTTTTTTAAGTTTATTTATTTGAGTAACCTCTACACCCAGTGTGGGGTTCAAGCTCATGACCCTGAAATCAAGAGCTGTGCATTCCACCCACTGAGACAGCCAGGCGCCCCAAAGATGTTTTCTTTCCCACTTCACTTGTGAGAAGGTTTTCTGTTTTGTTTTGTTTTGTTTTTTGTTTTTCCAATCATGAAATGGTATTGTATTTTCTTAAATGTGTGTAGAGGTTTTTTATTTTTGCTTTCTGTTTTTTTTTTTTTTTGTATCAGTTGAAATGATCAGAAGTTTCCTCTCTTTGATATAATAAAGTAGTGAATTTCATTAACAAATATCTTAATGTTGAACCATCCTTGCATTGCTTGAATACACTGATCCGATTTGCTAACATTTCATTTAGGATTTTAAAAATCTGTGTTTATAAGCAAATTTAGCTTTTGCTTTCCTTCTTGGTTGTTCTGTGCTTGTCCACTTTTGTATCAGAATTATGCCAGCGTCATGGAATGAGATCGTGAGATCTTACCATAAAAACACACTGGCCTCATTTCTTTTCCATGGGTAGATTTGACTTTTTTTTTTTTTTAAAGATTTTATCTATTTATTTGATGGAGAGAGAGATCACAAGCAGGCAGAGCAGCAGGCAGAGAGAGAGGAGGAAGCAGGCTCCCCGACGAGCAGAGAGCCCGATGTGGGGCTCGATCCCAGGACCCTGAGATCACGACCTGAGCCAAAGGCAGAGGCCTAACCCACTGAGCCACCCAGGTGCCCTAGATTTGACTTTTTAAATTTTTTTTAAGTAGGCTTTATGCCCAACCTGGGGCTTCAAGTCAGGACCCTGAGATCCAGAATCACATGTTCCACCAACTAAGCCAGCCAGGTGTCCCACTGTGGGCAGATTGGAAACTGTTTTCTTCCATTCTGGGTGGTCTACTTGAACTTGACACTATTTATCGAGTCAATTGGGATCATTTATAATTTCCCTAAGAATTGTAATATTCACCCCAATTTAATCCAGTTGCACACAAGATTCTCTAAATAACCACATCTGTTTCCATAATCATGTTCTCTTCTTGTTTCTAAAATCATCAGTTTGGGCCCTTTTCCCTTAATCAGACTTATACAAATCTTATCTATTTTATCAATCATCAGCTTTTGATTTGAGAAACCTGATATTTGTTATTTCGTCCATTTTGTCTTTATTAATTCTTATCTTCTACTTGAGTTAGGTTTATTTCGCTTCTCTTTTTCCAGCAACCTGAACTGTGTGCTTAGATAACTTAATTTCAGTTTTTCTTGTTTTCTAATGTTTAAGGTAATAAATTTCCCTCCAATTACCACTCTCTCTGCATCATATAGAACTTGGCATGTAGTGTCCATGTTGTCATTACTCTAAAGTGATCCATGTTTCAGCTTTGATTTCCTATTTCACTACAGATTACGGAAATCTTGGTTCTGATTTCCTCTTTAATGCAAAAACTACTGCAAAAACTGCTTTAAAATTGCAAATGGATAGATTTTCTTTTCTTTCTTTTTTTATCTTTTTCTTTTTCTTTTTTTTTTTTTTGCTACATTTTTCGTTGATTTCTCACATTAAGTCTCTGTGGACTGTTTGGGTCAGAAGGTTTCTACTCTGGGCAATTTATGAAAATCTTCTTTGTGATCTACTACACAGGCAAATTTAAACTTCTCCACGGATGCTTGAAAAGAACGTCTGTCCTTGGCAAGTCCTATAAGAATACAGGCTTCTACCGAATCAAACGTGTAACTCAAACCTTTACTTTTTATCTAATTAATAAATCAATTTCTGCTTATGACTTAATTATTTCCTTCTGATTGTTTTCCTCACTCTTAACTTCCGGAATTCCAATTTTGGTCATTATTGAATATCCTAGAGCTATTCTGCATGTCGCTTAGTATTTTTTTCATATTAACTATAGTGAGACTAGAAGAACAGTGATTTAACTTTAGAATCCAAATGCCACTGGGCGTGTGAAGTCATGTGGTGATCCATTGTGTAAGTACTGCCCAAGTGACACATTTTTAACGAGTTAAAAAAACACAGCATACATTGGGAGAAACACGCTGGGGTGCCAGTGGCCAAATAGCAGAAGGCTGAAATTTATGAAATGGAAAAAGTCAGTTCAGCCAAATAGTTACGAAGCATTCTGTGAATGGCACAGGCACAGGGCAATGGAAGGTTCTGCCCTGCCCTGGTGGCCACGCAGACCTCTTAGAGAGCCAGGACCTGCACTGATTTCATATAGTTAAGTAACCAAAGGACAGCACCACTTTCCTGCCAAATGAATGGCCCAGGCATTGAGTGTTACCGCAGTCCAGGGAAAGGGGAGATGGAAGCTGTGAA